CCGCGTTACGTACTGTAAAATTTACAGCTTGCGCTAACCATCTGAGCTACCACGGCTTAATCATATACACACACAAAATATTTAAATATAATTTGTTAACACTAAATAATAATAATAATAATAATATAATAATTTCCGCAACTATCACACAACGCCATCTAGTCCCAAGCTAAGCAGAGCTTGTGTTATGGGTACTAGACAACTGATAAACATACTTATATATTTCTAAATACATAAATATTATAGATAAATTACACCCAGACACAGAACAAATGATCGTGCTCATCACACAAACATTTGTCCTGGGTGGGAATCGAACCCACGACCTCCGGCATAACAGTCAGGGTCACTAACCACTAGACCAACAGGCCTGTCGTTCAAAATCATACACACGTAAAAAAATAACAGAAAGAAAAGTAAGTTTGTCAATAGATTAAACACTTACATCTATGGCCTTTGATGCGTTGAAGTAACGCAAATGTATTATTGATAGATACACTGCGGTCAAACGACCATACACTAACTCTATGACTGCAGTTGCTTGGTCTTATATAGTACCAGTAAGTAATAATTCTAATCTAAAGAATTTCTACAGTAGAATTGATAATAACTTTATGCGTCAACAACCTTATCTCACATTCTTCGTGTTGCGTCTTATTCAGTGTATTGATGACTCAAATACGTTTTGTATAACAGAAAAAATGCAATTTAATATTTAGAAATCACATAATTGATCATTCCTATGTTAGTCATTGAGTAGATTGTACTGTAGTAATCTACTAATAGCAGTAATATCATGGATACACTAGATGTACAACAACATCTGAAAAAGATTCACCCCAGTCTAGAAAATAATGTTTATGCTGCTAACAGACTGCCCATGTACACCCACGTACCAACGTATATACCTAGTCAGGTCATAAGTATTGTCACACAGTAAAAACTTTTCTTTTAGAATGCTGGCCACAAAAAAGTTTATTGAATTCGAATTGTTCATGAAAATAAAACTGTATACTTTTTAGAATTTTACTCATTTTTACATATGGAGTGGACGCTTAAAAAAGACCGTGTTGCAGTTGCGATTACGCGCCAATTAAATTGTTTGATATACTGAAAAATTTGAATATAACCAAAAGATTCGTTTATCGTACCATCAAACGATACAATGAAGACTCTAGTGTAGATGACAGGTCAAGAAGTGGTCGCCCTCGATTTGTTAGGACTCCAGCAGTGATAAAAGCTGTAAAGGTGCGAATTCAAAGAAATCCCAAACGTAAGCAGAAACTGTTGGCCCTTCAGATGGGGTTAAGCAGAACCACGGCGTTAAATGAAGACTTAGGGCTTCGGGCATATCGAAGAAAAACAGGACATCGTTTGAACGCTCGTGTAATGGATCTGAGACTGAAGAGATGCCGCGCTTTGGTGAAGCGGTACGCGGGAAAAAAATATCGGGAAATTCTTTTTTTCGGATAAAAAATTTTTTACCGTAGAAGAGAGCTACAACAAACAAAATGATAAGGTGTACGCACACAGTAGTGAAGAAGCGAGCAACCGTATTCCGCGTGTCCAACGAGGTCATTTTCCATCCTCGCTCATGGTATGGTTGGGAGTTTCTTATTGGGGCTTAACAGAGGTACATTTTTGTGAGAAAGGTTAAAAACGAATGCAGTTGTGTATCAAAATACAGTCCTGACGAACCTTGTGTAACCTGTTTCTCATACCATGTTCAATAACAGGCACTGGGTATTCCAACAAGATTCGGCGTCAGCTCATAGAGCGAAGAGCACACAAGACTTTTGACAGCTCCGTGGCGTAGTGGCTTAGCAATGAGTGGCTGCGCTTGGGGGTCGCGGGTTCGAATCCCGCACGGAACAAGTATTTGTACGACCTACAAGTAATTGTTCCGAGTTTGGATGTTTGTCCTTGTGAAATTTGTGTTTGTAAACTGCCCCCCACGATACAGGAGAAAAACCTAGTGTGGAGGTAACGTTCTTTAAAAACAAAAAAAAAGACTGGCTGGCGGCGCGTGAAATCGACTTCATCCGACACAAAGACCAGTCCAGATTTGAATCCGTTAGATTACAAGATATGGTAACACTTGGAGGAAAAGGCGTGCTCAAAGCCTCATCCCAATTTCGAGTCACTCAAGACATCTTTAATTAAGGCAGCCGCCGATATGACATGGACCTCGTTCGTGGTGAGATAGACGACTGGCCGCGCAGATTGAAGGCCTGTATTCAAAATTACGGAGGTCATTTTGAATAAACTATAGTGTCATAAGAATCTATGTTTTGTTAAGTTCATTTTGGTATATAAATGGTTACATAATGAATAAACTTGTTTCAATTATTTTACATTAAACATGTGATAGAATTTATGACCTGACTAGGTAATATGCAATTTGGGTACAGATGATAAACCAGGGTCACATTGGGTAGCTTTATATATCGATACGAATGACGTCGGTGAATATTTTGATTCATATGGACGGGCACCTGTACGAAATTGTAAAAGATGGAACTGGAATGTTGATAGGACTTCAGTTTGTGGCGAATATTGCTTAATGTATTTGCTATATAAGTTTCAGGGATGTTCAATGCATAGTTTTACGAGTATATTTACAGAGAACACATTGTACAACGATATGTTAGTGGATGAGATGTTTCGCTCCTATTTTATAGATAATAAGTAATAAGATTTTGTATTTTATAAATAAAAATTTTAACAAAATTAGGTAATGTGTTTAAAAGATGGAACTGGAATGTTGATAGGACTTCAGTTTGTGGCGAATATTGCTTAATGTATTTGCTATATAAGTTTCAGGGATGTTCAATGCATAGTTTTACGAGTATATTTACAGAGAACACATTGTACAACGATATGTTAGTGGATGAGATGTTTCGCTCCTATTTTATAGATAATAAGTAATAAGATTTTGTATTTTATAAATAAAAATTTTAACAAAATTAGGTAATGTGTTTTATTGATGATTCAGATTAGTGTTGTAGATAGGAACAAAGGAGTATAATACAATAGCATAAGCCGACCCACACGCTGACGAATAATAGATAATGACGGTAGTCAATCAACAATAGATAAGTAGATAAGGACAATGGAGCGCTAATGACGGTTGAGGCTCGCAGCGGATATCAATTAGATAAGAGTTAATTGATCTGCACATCTCCGGAACCGTGCATCCTACGCAAAAATGGACCGCAGATTCGTGATCAGAGCATGCCAAAACCTTTTTTTTTTTAGGATTGTGAGTCGACGAACGTCGTGCGCCAGAACTGGTACAACCTTTCTACGAGTGCGCCAGAACTGGTACAACCTAACTACTCCTGCTGGGTCAACCAATTTGTTTTATATAATAAGGGTGACAAACTAGCACACAGTCCACCTGATGGTATGTGGATGCTGTGGCTTATAGACATCGATTACGAATCAAAATGCAGATGCGTTGTCACCCGTGAAGACTAAGATGGAATGCCTCGTTTCCAGTAAAAAAGGGTCTCCGGATCTCTATACTCACCATTCGAAATACAGCAGTATTAAGCTGCTATTCTGTGAGAGCGTGGTCCTTCCCTGGTCGAGCCAACAAAGTGTTACAACCATAATATGGGTGCAGCGTGGCTCTACCACGTATATAATTAATTACAACGGCAAGTCTGTTGTGCTGTGGTTAATTACATGATCAACAATAGCGAAACAACGACGGTATTAATATAAAAGATTCTTTAACATTCATATATTTCGACAAATAGAATGCCGTTTTTAGCCAATCTCTCGTAGGTGGTATGATAAGTGTCGTGAATCAATTCAAATTATCACTATACAAACGACTGTCTGTTAGATAACCGGGTCACTCGGCCAGGTTTTGACCGTAATTGTGCTACATTGCATCGTTTCTCTAATTTATCTTAAATATAACGACTGCATAGTGCATACATAACAAAATATTAGTTTACGTCGAATTATATTAGTACAAGGATATGTAATTCAAAGAATTATTTTCATACATTTAGTGGACACCAAAATTGCTACGTTTGTTTTTTTGTTTTTTTGTTTGGTGGCTTCTTTCGGTCGGGGGGTTGGATGTTTTTTCCCTTATCCTATATGCTAAGCCTTTGATTGACTTTCAGGAAAGCATATTATTATACATATATAATGTGCAGAGCGTTTTAGTTTTTCATCTTTTAACATGTATTAACCATATGCCACGTCATACTCATTACGACGAAATTCAACACATCTATTTATCATCAATGATTATTTTAACCTAGACAATTTTTGAAGTGGCTTTTCCGCTATTAGTTGGATCCAAGACGTAATACCGGAGTTAATTTTAACACCTATTTTACGGCAGTAGTGTTAGGAAAGGTAGATTCTGCTAAAGTGTCTGTCTGAAGTGGTATCATTCTCCTTACTATTTCGATCGCCAAGCAGCATTGAACATGTGTTTCAGTTTCAAAGGTATTTAAAACTAATATAATTATAGGCTGTGAGGCATTCTTTCTTGATAATTTATTTGGCAGTAGACATTTACAATCAGGTGTGCTGTTAAATGTGTTTGTTAACAGTACACTGCGTCACTTTATTGTTATAAAACTTCTTTAAGACAAAATGGCTTTAATATAATAATTAAAACCTCTAATTCTACCTTATAGTCCAGCAAAATCCAAATGAGGAACATGGAATGGTTTACATCTCTGTAACACGTATAGTTGCCGCTGTGTTTCGTATGGTGAGTGTAGAGAGCCGGATACGCTCTTACTGGGAACGAGGCATTCCATCTTAGTCCCCAGGGGTGGAGTCCCAGGGTGGCAACGCATCTGCATTTTAATTCTTAATCGAGAATAAATGTATATGTCTATGAGCCACAGCATTCACTTACTATCAGGTGGACTGCGTGCTCGTTAGTCACCCTTATTCTATTAAAAAAGTATCACTAGATAAGGCTCATGGGCTGCCTTCATTAAAAAATAGTACAATATGGTTACCTGTCGTGGTCTGCGACGTGTGCATGGCGGACGGTGTGGGGGCGGGGCCGGTGGGTGCGGCCGCTCGCACAGACGTCGACATCACGTTCTGTTGACCCAACGCAATGTCACACTTCGCACTGTACGACAGCTGGAACAAAATAGCGAGGCGATGTTGCGTACTGGCCATCCGCGAGAACAACGATGTCTTCAACTTTTGTATAAAGTAAGTAAAAGTAAAGTAAAGTTACAGCCTATATACGTCCCACAGCTGGGCACAGGCCTCCTCTCATTTCTGAGAGGGTTTTAGAGCAAGGAAGTGTCCGCCTCGGTGCCCCAATGCGTGTTGGCGAACTTCACGTCTTCGAAATAATTTTTTTTCTTATTCCTCAGACATGCAGGTTTCCTCACGATGTTTTCCTTCACCGCCGAGCACGTGGTATATCAGCACTTAAAATTGCAATTAACAATTTCATTGGTGCCGGCGGGGATCGAACCCGGGTTACTCGCGTTCTGTTATATTTACAGCGAGCGTTAACCATCTGAGCTACCACGGCTCTTTTTATAGGGGCAGATAAATCAGTAAGTTCCGGCTTCGCCGATAACAACTTATTGCAATAAGTATCAGACACCATCGACAGAATTATTAGAGGCACGACATAAATAACGAATGTAATGCGACGAGATACCAAAACTTAATATAAGGTACTGTTACGCGCTAAAATCGGCGCACTAGCGCCATCTAGTCTCGAACCAAAGAACTAAACTTCTTGAAGTTTAAAACTCGAACTCTCGGTACCTTGCGCGTGTTTACTTGAACATTCTGGATATTTTGCTAATTTATATAAGTAGGCGCTGCAAGATGCGATCGAGGTAGACTTGAACTCGGCGACACAAGCGAAGCTTCGGAGCGGAATTAAGTGAATTAGTGTGTTTAATCATTAGTGTTTTAAGTTTTAATTTGTGTAAAGTAAATTAAAGTGTTAATTTAGGTAATTTTATCGGCAATTTTTATTGTCACGAACCCTAAGCTCGTAACAATTGGTGTCAGAAGTGGGACAAAATAATGCCGATTTTACCTAAGGAGGAAACGGAGGGTGTCCGTACCCGCAGTCAACGCCAGCATGAGACGGACCAGAGGAGATTTGGTGGTGCAATGCCGCAGACGTCGGAGGGCCAACTGCCAGCCACGGAGGCTGCGGGCCCGTTAGTAGCTCCTACACCTGCAGCACCTGACTTAGGTGCTCTGATGGCGATGCTACAGGAGCAGCTGCAGCGCGGACGAGAGGAACAGGCCCGTCTGTTGAAAGAGCAGCAGGAGGAACAGGCTCGCCGACAGGAGGAACAGGCTCGCCGACAGGAGGAACAGGCTCGCCGACAGGAGGAACAGGCTCGCCGACAGGAGGAACAGGTCAGTCGGTTGGAAGAGCAGCTGCGGGGCGGCCAGGAAGAACAGATGCTTCTCATGAAGGACCTTCACGCTACCTTCGGGAAAGAGATAAGGGAGGTGAAGGATAAGGTTGCTCAACATGATAACCGCCTGTCGGAAGCTGAGACCCAAATCAACCAAGTTAAGAAAACGCTGGATGAACTCAAACTTGGGGATGGAACCACAGCTCCCGTAGTAGCTTCAGCACCATCGCTAAGTGGGTTCAAGGTGCCACCGTTTGACGGGACTTCTTCCTGGTCAGCCTACAAAATCCAGTTCGAGGCTGTTATGAAGGCGAACGGCTGGAATAAAAGTCAGGCCATGACTGCTCTCACACTAGGCCTGCGCGACCAGGCCTTAACAGTTCTGGAAGCTCTCGGTGAGGAAGTGACTTATGAGCAACTCCTTGCGGCATTGGAGGCGAGATATGGTGACGCTCACCTGGAACACGTCTTTCGTGCGCAGCTTAAAGATCGTGTGCAGCGCATCAACGAAAACCTGCAGCAGTGGGCTCTAGAGGTGGAGAAGCTGGTGCGAAAAGCATACCGGTCTGTACCTGCGCTCATTGAAGGGAACCTGGTGCAGACATTCATCGACGGCATCCGTGACCTGGAAGTCAGAGCTGCTGTGAGGCTCGGGCACCACGAGACGCTTAAGGACGCCTTGGCCCATGCACTGGAGGTAGAAGCCGTGCGGCAGGATCATCGTTCCCATCGCGTCAGGGAGGTTGCAGCAGCTACAGTTCGCGATCGCAACAGAGGATACAGCCCTAGGTGCTATGGCTGTGGGGAAAAGGGCCATCTTCGAATCAGCTGCCCTAAGCGAACCGTGGAAAGGGGAGTTGATCGATCTCGAGAGGGTAGTGCAGCTAACGACACTGCCTGGCGGCGACAGGATCATCGTTCACCTCACGCTAGGGAGGTTACAGCAGTTACGGTTCGCGACCACAATAAAAGATACAGCCCTAGGTGCTATGGCTGTGGGGAAAGGGGCCATCTTCGGTCCAGCTGCCCTGAGCACACCCTAGGAAGGGAAGGTGAACGGTCTCAGAAAGGAAGTGCGGCTAACAGCACCGCCCAGCAGCAGCAGGAATACGACTTTACTATCAGACACTGCAGCGGGAAATCTCACGGCAACGCAGATGCATTGACAAGAAGACCTTGTCCTGAAGAATTGCAACCATTGTAGTAGGCAAGAGAGCAAGGAAGTGGTATCCGTGAGGATGCTCAGGACAGACCACCTCAGCAACGGGTGGAAGGACAGCCTACGACATGCACAGCAGGAAGATCCGGACATCAAGCCGATTCTGGGATGGATGAAGGCCCGTGCTACCAAGCCTAAGTGGAGGGACGTCTCAGCGATGAGTTCAACCACGAAAAGCTATTGGGCCCAATGGGATAGCTTGCTGATTCAGGATGGAGTCCTGTGCCGTAAATGGGACAATGGTCGAAGAGACAGCTGTCGTTTGCAAATGGTTGTCCCTAAAGCTAAAGTGCCGAATGTTCTACAGCTGTGCCATAATGGTCGTTCAAGAGTCCATCTGGGAGTTAAACGAACTCTACTGAAGGTCCGAGAACAGTTTTACTGGGTCATGTAATAGGGTAGACTAGTAGAGGAGACCGAAATGTACTGTTGGTGACCGGGGATTGCGGAGCCGTTACAGAAAGGCGCAAGAGGGACTCCTAAGATCGTCCATGTGGATCGCTTGGCGCGTTATTATGGGACCGATAATGCTCGGGACGAGCATGTCTTAGGAGGGGGCAGTGTTACGCGCTAAAATCGGCGCACTAGCGCCATCTAGTCTCGAACCAAAGAACTAAACTTCTTGAAGTTTAAAACTCGAACTCTCGGTACCTTGCGCGTGTTTACTTGAACATTCTGGATATTTTGCTAATTTATATAAGTAGGCGCTGCAAGATGCGACCGAGGTAGACTTGAACTCGGCGACACAAGCGAAGCTTCGGAGCGGAATTAAGTGAATTAGTGTGTTTAATCATTAGTGTTTTAAGTTTTAATTTGTGTAAAGTAAATTAAAGTGTTAATTTAGGTAATTTTATCGGCAATTTTTATTGTCACGAACCCTAAGCTCGTAACAGTACCAAATATTTAGTAAGGAGCATAATATAATAATAATAATAGTTTTTACTTCATTAAAATATAGCTGATAGTACTTGTAAAGCAAAAGTTATATCGGAATAAACGGAGCGAGACACGTTCACTGTCGTTACAAATTGACGGACCTCATGAAGGGATATTGTTATACGCAGTCGTCACACATGGCGGATCGGTTGGAAATCGCAGTTATTTATTGTAGTGATTAGGAAGATGCTACTGCCCCTCTCCTGTTTCGATTTACCTCGATCGCCACTTATGGCACCCAAGGAATAACTTAGAATAGTGGATTCTCTTGCGCCGTTACTATACGGTATATAAGCAGACATATAATGTGAACAATATTAATTTTATAAAATTATTTTTATAATAAAGATTAATATCTAATTTGCAACCATCCGCATTAATTAAATACAATGATGTGTCTTACCTGGATTGAAGAGCACCTCCCGCCCTCCCTCAATTACGTGCACTAATCCCGCCCCCACTACTCCCGGCACCACTACTCTAACACCACTATTCCAGGAAAGACACACCATCGACGATAATATGACACGTGTTTCGCCTCTACACGAGGCATCTTCAGGAGATGTAGACTCTACGGCGACTGACCGCTAAGATACGTGTCGTATTATCGCCGATGGTGTGTCTTTCATGGAATAGTGGTGCCGGGAGTAGTGGTGCCGGGATTGGTGGTGACGGGATTAGTGCATGCAATTGAGGGAGGGCGGAAGGTGCTCTTCAATCCAGGTAAGACACATCATTGTATTTAATTAATGCGGATGGTTGCGAATTAAATAGTAATCTTTATTATAATGATTTTCCGCAAAGTAATGCCTGATTCTGTCAATTATTTTCATATTTAATACAACTTATACTTAAGTTCTACGTTGGGTACTTACGTTTGTTTGAATAGAATTTTGTAGGGATGTGGGCGATAGAGGCACGTGTGGACCATTACTGCTAACAACTCCGCCTCCGGACTAAAACAGAATATATACTTATAATCAGTAATAAATTATATATTAATGGCAAACATACACTTTTATGTTTTCGAGAAAACCATAAAATTGTGCGAAAACAATACGACGTAAATAACTTGAGTCATAAATTGTAAAAAATAATGCGGGAAAATTGTGTTCTCAATAGCCTACGTAAAGAACTATAGTGAAATTTTACACGTGTTAGAATTATGTTACAGCCAGAATACGATTTGTAACACGTAAATGTGTAAAACAGGTTAGGAAAATCGCGGAATACCGATTTTTAATAGCAGCATAAAGTGACCGTAGTGTGTGAATAAGTCGAAATATACTTAGTTCAAAGTTATTGCAATTTACCATCCTCATTAGTCGTCGGCTCAAAGACAATCCAAAGCTTGCCTTGAGTGTCTCCGAAAATCAATGTTATTTTGGACCGAAAACTAATTATTAAAGATATTTCGAATTTCATTTACATTGCACAAGTGGGAATAGTGTATGAGACGTGGTTGCTCAGCGGCTAAGCGCTCTCTGTAAATTTTAAAGTGCGCAAGCAACCAAAGTGCGATCCCCGCCGGCACCAACGAAATTGTTACCTGCAATAAATTAAAGTGCTGATTTACTACGTGTTCTGCGAAGGAAAACGTCCTGAGAAAACCTGCATGTCGGAGGATTAAAAATATTTTGAAGATACGAGGGTGACACTGAACGTTCTTAGAAAATCTAAAACTGAACAAACTAGCAATTTATTAGTTTTATTCTCTTCAAATTCTTTTCAAAATAGTGTCCATTTACATCAATACATCGCTGCATCCGATGGAACCACTGAGAAAAGCTCTTTGCCCACTCGTCCTTTGGGGTCTCTTCGACGGCATTTTGAAATCAGCCAATGCTTCCTCGGCGTCCATAAAACGTTTTCCTCGAAGTTTTTCTTTTATTTTCGGAAGTAAAGATAAATCGCAAGGTGCGATTTTCATCAGTCGGGGCTATAGGGCGGGTGAGGGTGACCCAGTAATTCCACGTCTGACGTCAACAGTTAGTCGTTTGTTTGCTTGGCGGCGTGTGACGAAGCGTTGTCGTAGTGAAGGAGGATCCTACTGCGAAGTCGTTTCTCCCGAACTTTTTCCAAGACAAGTGGCAAATAATTGTTAGTGTACCACTTTGCAGTAACTGTTTTTCGATCCTCTAAAACAATTGTTGCGTAATGACTTGGCCTTCCGAAGAACGAGGCCACCATCTTTTTTCCCACGCTTCGACCTCTCTTCAATTTAGTTGGTAGCTCCTCGGAAGGAAACACTCAGACAGCAGACTGCCTCTTACTTTCAGGATCATAACAACAAATCCAGCTTTCGTGACCCATAAGTATGTCGAACACAGAATTCGAGTAACTTCCGTTAACTGTTTGAACCATTTCACGACACCAATCAACACGACGGAGTTTTTGGGCCTCTGTCAAATTATGAGCATCGGGCACAAAACTTCCTGACCGCTAAATGTTCATGGAGGATTTTGTGCACTTGACTCATACCGATGCCTAAGCTTGTTCGAATCTGCTGATAAGTCACTCTTTTGTCAGTCTCTAGCATACGCCGTAAAACACTGTTATTATCTTCAGTCATCGCAGTAGAAGGCCGTCCCTCACGCAGATCATCGGTGAGATTAGTGCGACCACGTTTAAACTCATTAAACCAGTTGTAAACATTAGCACGGTATGGCCATCGTAAAAGGCCAATCGAAGTCTATCATAACTTTATTGTTGACATCGAAAGTCATAAAAAATCATTGTACGAAAATTTTCTTGCATAAGGCGTACATTACACACTCATGCAGGCTGTCAGTTTTACAACAATCACGGTTGTGATTGACGAATAACCTACCGTGTAATGTAGTGATTGACGCCTGCATGAGCGCGTAATGTACGTCTATCAGTCACCATCCGCTTTTAATCAATCATAATTGATGGAGTTGATTCACGCCTGCGTGAGCGTGTAAATTAAATTCATGCTGACGTGACACAGGCAATTTTCTATTTGCCGCCAAATCGTTAACAAATGACAAATTAATAAAATACATACAATAATATTGGCAAAGAGCCAAAGAGTTCCATTTCCAAAATTTGAACTTATTTTTTTATTATATCGTTTACAAGTGGCCAGTTCTAAAAAATTTCAGTGTCGCCCTCGTATGTGAAGGCCACCAACACGCAATGGAACAGCGCGGCGCGGCGGCCATATTATTTCATCTTCCTCTCAGAAATGTGAGGTCTGTGCCCATTTGTGGGACAGCTTTCTTTATATCTAACATTCGTAAAATTTAAGTTTTAATTATCAAAAAAATTGCATCACCAATTTTGTATACTTCTTTGGTATTTGATTTTTCAATCACGGTTACAAGAATTTCAACCTGCAACAGGCACTAGAAGTATTATTTTCCGGGTCAATTGCTATCTCGGTCGACTATTTAATATTTATCAGTCGACTCTCATCTCAACCCCAAAAGTTAACTTCAGATATATTTCAGTATCAGCTAAAATTCAGGTATTTTGTCTTAACCACACAACTAATATAAAATTGTTAAAAGAAATACCGAGTCTACAAGCCAAGTAATTGAACTATTAAAAATAAAATATAGGTACTTCAATGTTGTCATCATTTATAAGTCCACGCTGGACATAGGGTGTACTCGCTGAGTAATCGGCCTAGATTGTGCTTAGTACTCGGCCGAATACTCGGCTTTAAAAAAAGTTGCGGCTATCAACCTACCATACCTATCAACACCCGCCAGTTCAGTTTACAGTAAACGGCTTTTTTCAGAGGCTAGCTTAGTATATGAAGCAAAAAAGGAGCAAACTAGACCCAAATAGGGCTGAAAAACTAGTGTTTTTGTATCACAACCTTCCTTTCTAGCTCTTAATCTTTAAATATTACAAATAATTATTTCTATTAAAGATTCTTATGTACGTTCTCAATGTTTCTGCTGTTCCTCATGTCCCCGACGATTTGTCTAATATAATATTAATGATAAAAACTTTTTTCTTTTTTTCTCTGGAATATAATTAAGGCCGAGTACTCGGTACTCGTCCGTCAATACTCGGTGCTCGGCCGAACCCTGACAAAAACCGAATCTGCCGAGTACCGACTCCAAACCGAGTACACATCCCTTCGATCAACAATAATTGTTAATCGAAGACTCGTCCCATGTCTAATACGAGGGCGGCACTGAAAATTTCGGGAATCAAGGAAGTGACACAACGTTACTATTCAAAAATGTATTTATTGCTTTTCGAAGTATTCTCCGCGAAATTTGACACATTTTTCCATACGATGGAACCAATCATTGAAGCAACCATTCCATTCGGAAGTTGGGGTCTCCAAAATGACCGTTTTGTAGGCGTCCAAAGCTTCTTCAGGTGATTAAAATCTCTGTCCACGCAATTTATTCTTTATTTTAGGAAAAGTATAGAAATCATTAGGGCTTAGGTCGGGGCTGTCCGGCGGATGGTCTAATAATTCTATGTTTTCTTGCTCTAAAAACTCTTTTGTTCTGTGTGCGGTGTGAGAACTCGCATAGTCGTGATGGAGGATGATGCGGCGGTTGCAGTTCCCTTTACGGAGTTCAGAAACGGCCTATGGCAAACAAATGCTAGCATACCATTCTGCATTAACCGTTCTTTGTCCCTCAAGAGGAATAGTCGTAACATGCTGGTTTAGGAGACAAACGTGGCCACTATTTTTTTTGCAACACTCCGTGAACGAACAATTTTTGTTGGCTTTAACTCATTTTCGAACACCCAAACTCGTGACTGGTTTTTTGTTTCGGGTTCGTACGCGTATATCCAGGATTCGTCACCTGATACGATGTTGTATACAGTATTTGAGGATCCTGCGTGGAGTCTTTCGAGAGTTCTGACGCACCAAGTAACGCGAGCCGCTTTTTGCTCTTCACAGAGCGAATGCGGTATCCATCGGGAAAACAACTTTTTTACACCTAATTGTTCATGCAAGATTATTTGTATTTGACTCATGCCAATGTCTAAAGTTGCCTGAATTTCGCGGTATGTCACATGTCGATCTTCCTCAATCAGCTTACGCACAGCATCAACGTTTTCTTGGGTGCAGTTTTTGGACGACTTTGACCGGGATCATCACTGAGCTTGACACGTCCACGTTGAAATTCAGCAAACCAGCGATAAATTGTGGTTTTGGATGGGGCTTCATCACCAAATGCAGAAATCATCCGGTCAACAGACTGTTTTTGTGTTAAACCACTTCGAAAGTCATAATAAATCATCGCTCTTAAATTTCCTCGAGTCAATTCCATTTTCTCAACGACTAAATAAGTTTGACAAAACCTTGTGACAAGACCGAGAATCTTTTTTTAAATAAATAAATGGTATTCGATTTTTAAGACCAAGGAGTTTTCAATTAAAAGGATTTTAATATGACAGGAACAGTGGAAATATTCCATTCCCGATGATTTTAGTGCAGCCTATGTATGTAGTTAGTTTCGTGCGTTGGCAATCAGGATGCTAACAAAAGATTGAAGTTGGATGCTAAAAAAAGAAGAAAAAAGTTGAATACAGGCAAAAATAAAAACGGACTTATACGTTTGTATTTTAAATTAAATAAATTCTGGATTTGTAAAATTATAGAGCTGAATTTACTAAATTAAATTATATGGGCGTCATCGATTGTTATCATTTACTATCATAATAAGAATTCCAACAAACAGGTTGCCCAAACCTGTTGGTTAACTGTTTACTGCAAACCATTAAATTTAATTAATAAAGTAATAAAAACTGACTTGGCTGGTAATTATTAAAATTAAATTGTAAAAACTAAATTCATCAACGTTAAAAATCGCTACATAGCTGTTTATGAAATTTCCTTTATAAAAAATTTGCGAATTGCTAAAAATTTACATTTTTTAAATGGAGGGTCAAATTAATTTAACTTATTATTATGCAACATGTACGCTTTAATAAATATAAGCCGAATCCATGTATTCGAAAATACTAGTTATATTATGTAATAAATAATAATACCTTCCTATGTGACTATAGAGTGTAACAGTTATTATCTACATGATATACGGCCCCATAATATTACTATTAATTTTGCTTATCGCATATTAATATTAATGTTAATGCATATTAATATTAATTTGTTTTCAAAAATAGAAAGTATTTTAGACGACTTAATATAGGGGCGGAGAAAAAGAAATTTTTAATGACCTCATTTCTTTTTATTTCAGTATCTCACAGAATACTAGCGTAAAATAGTAGCTTAAATGCTGCTGTGTTTCGTATGGTGAGTGTAGAGAACTGGAGACTCTTTTTACTGAAAACGAGGCATTCCATCTTAGTCCTCACGGGTGACAACGCATCTGCATTTTGATTTGTAATCGAGGATAGATGTAGATGTCTATAGGCCGCAGCAACCACTTACCATCAGGTGGACTGTGTGCTTGTTTGTTACCCTATACGTGTCACGTTGTTTGTCCGTGATGGACTCCTAAACTACTTAACCGATTTAAATCAAATTTGCACACCGTGTGCAGTTTGGTCAACTTGAGAGATAGGATAGTTTTTTTGCCCTAGGTGACCCACAACTTTTTTTTGCGAATTTAAGGATTATTTTAACGAACACCCTTTCTCTCAACCAGCATCCTTTAATAGTCCAGGATCGAAGGCCACAAGCTTCGTTATTTAAATTCTCTCTCTTCAACAACATAAGTAAGTAGTGTTATGGCTCCTTTGTACCTACAAGTCCATCTGGGTGGGTACTAGGTATTACCTATAATTTGCATAGATTGGACCATCAACATCACGCTGCAGCTATATTATGGTTGTAGCACGAATGGGTTGGCTCGACCGGGGAAGTATCACGCTCTCACAGAATACCAGCTTAAAATATCAGCTTACTACCGCTGTGTTTCGTATGGTGAGTGTAGAGATCCGAAAACCCTTTCTTACTGGAAACAAGACATACTAAGAAGTAATCAGGGGTGACATCGCATCTGCGTTTTGATTCTTAATCGAGGATAAATGTAGATGTCTATGGGCGACAGCAACCACTTACCATCAGGTGGACTGTGTGCTCGTTTGTCACACAACAACTGATGAAGAAAATGCGAATCTGGGGCCTACGATAGAATGCTCTCACTAATGACAACAAATTAAAGCGATAATCATTAAATTATTTTATCTATTTTTTATTCGTTTATCTACTTAGGCCTTTTTAGAATATTTTAAACAGAATCGAATAAAAAATAATTGTTTATATTGGCAAACCTAGTTATAGTACATTAAAAAACTGACAGCATATCTCACCGACGCTGTCAGTTACTTAGAAACTCGCAAATCGTATCTTACGGTACGTGTACACCAAAACCGATTTTGTCGGCTGATGGCGGACAGAACTACCCGGATGAGTAACTCGGACGTGTATGTGCTTACACTGCAACAGTGTACCACTTGTGCTGACATTGAACGTTGCCGGTATTCTTTTCTATTTTTCTATTTTCAATATTCATATTCATAGTCGTTTAGGGAGATAACAACACTGACAGAAACAACAGAATAAAGATAAAATGATAAAATTAAACTATAAATACACTCAATTTGCACTGTAGACGCCGGCAGTCGGGCGAGAAATCCCAACAAGTTCGGATTCGACGGTTGATCGGCCGTTTTCGTGCTTTATCGGACGATGACGGTCGTCGTGTTTGATTCGATCGTCCGACTTCGGCCGTTGTCGCCCGTGCAAACTTCGGCCGATGTCGGATTTGGTGTATGCGAAGTTGCGAAGCGTGACTATGCGAAAGTACGAACCGGCAGCTGGTGCGGCGGCTGCGTTCGCTTGAGACGCGCCGGTGCAGTGGGCGCGGGCGCTGTCGACGCGGAATACCAGCCGCAGCCGACGTTCTGCGCGCCCGTGTGCACGCCGTGCTGGAACATCACACTGAATTACTATTACGAAAGTACGCTAATGTTTATTATGACATCGTCGACATGTAAATATACTAAATTAGTTTGTTGTGTGTCGAAGTTGGATATGTGAACGCGGTATCATGCACCAGTCTTAAGCCGTACCTGTATTATTTCGCCTGACATTTGCCAGATATCAGAAAATTTTCCCTTTAAACTGTATAACGCCATTTTGAATAAACGTAGTTTTGCAAAAATAAGTGATATTCATTCTGTAAACACTAGGAACAGACACAAGCTAGTAGTACCACTTACTCGACTCCATCGAGTAAATAATTCATTCTTGGGGCGATGTATACGCTTTTACAAGAAATTCCCAGAAAATATACAACATTTTTGTCATACGCAAAGTTCAAAAATGTTATTAAACTAAGATTTTATAAAAAGGGTTATTATAATATTAAGGAATTTATGGATGATAAACCCCTGGGAAGGGTGATCGCTACCAAGCTATTTCTAATTTGTCTTGTGTTGTTAATTGTAAACATGATTGTAAGCTGTTATTTGAAAAAAAATAGTCCCGCTGGGTTTCTTGCTGTTCTTCCCAGGACAGAGGGTTTTTTTGCGAACCAGTGGTAAATGAAAAAAATGACTTTCAATAAGTATTGTTTATAATCTACATTGAATAAAAAAGTTTCTGTTTCTGTGGTCATAACTAAATAACAAAGAAAATAGTCAACTTTTGCAATACTTTTACCTCAACAATTATTAGCTAATATAAAAAACTTACACTGTAGGGTCACTCACTGTCTATCTATCACTATCACTTTTTCTTCTGATAGTAAGTGCTACCTTACGTAACGCAACTGCGAAGCAAAAAAATTATTTGTTCATTTATTTTACGTTGTTTAGATAAGTTTATTTCATTATTATCTTCGTATCATAGGTCACTTACAAAAACTGTCACGAATCGCGGTCTTAAACCACAGCCTGCATCTAATAACATGCCGCATCAGATCGCTACGTCATCTAGTTGACGTGTATTTCGCTAATGTTATTATTCGTAAATATTTACTAATATTATTAAATTTTATGCAAAAATAAATAAATATGAGATACAACACTTATGTCTCGGCTGAAAATATACCAAACGTAAAATGAATGATCGCTAGTTCGCAAGATAGCTAGACCACAGACCGTTTTATCCCATTTTAAACAAATAAGTTCCCACACAAAAAGACTACACTAAACGATCTACTGAGAGGCAAAGTTGGCTGAGCGCCAAAAGCAATGCAGAAAGCACTTACTATATATTATCACTGTGAATTTGTTCACACGAATTCCCTTATGCACTCAATTCTCTTTTGTTAAAAATCTATTCATGAAATATTCATTGGCAAATGAACAGTAAAAACTATATAACGAGACGCTTTGTTACAGGTTTTTTAAAAACCGATATACCTAATGGTATTTACTTCATGACGAGTAGTGTGAATAAATTTTTTTTAATTTATTTTATCCGTATGATATTAATTGTAATAAACTGAAACTATTGCGCACTGGGTGCCTACACACAATAACAAACGGACGCATAATGTTGTCATTAGTATGCAATGCAAAGGATAGCTAATTCCTATTGCGAACGCGCCCACGAGACGTCACGTTGCTATGAGTAATAAAGAATACAGCAGATTTATTAAAACCAGTTGTCGGAATATTTTACAATATCTATTTATAGCTATAATTTACCACGACACAATTTACACACATATGAAGTAAGACGCAAATTGAAATTTAACCAACTTAAGTATATAGTGCCCATTTTTTCTTCATCAAGTTAGTAGTGTTGCACCAGACGTTTCCCAACTTTACGTTGGGGTCTCCGTCGTCGGAACTATCGTGTCTATCAGGGTAGTGAGCTCTTTCTGATATTTCCCACAAGGTATATACATATAATTTGACTCCAAATTTGTATGTTTCACAACAGAATTTCTTATTATAAGCCGGACTATAATTCCACCTAGTGGTAAACGGTGAAGCAGACCTTCATGATACATGATACTCTCGATTAGCCTATTGAAGACATCTAGATTGTAATCGGACGGAAGGACAGACACTGGTAAGTAATTTCACTCCTTTGTTGTGCATCCAGCATTATGAAAATCGAAGCAAATTGTCAAGTTCGAATGAGTGGTACGAGTATGTCCCTACTAAATAGAAATGAATTAGCGTTCGATTACTTCCAAAACCGATGTCGCCACATCTTACCGTATTATAAACATACGCAATGCACAATGACATCTAATGTTTCACATTACATTGCTTGGCGAGTTTGTCAACGTCGAGTGTGTCCCGTATTACGGTAGAACACAAGCAGCAATGGTAATTGTACAATACGAAAAGTAATAAATGAGTTTGCAAAGGTAAATGTCATAGTAAAGTATTCATCTAGATGTAAATTAATTAGTAATAAAATGATAATGAGTAAATAATCAACTTACTGATGAAATGTTATGCCTTTATTAGTTTAATTACTCGTTCTAAAGTGCACCATTATAAATTTATAATAACTAAAAATCACGTATGACGTTCCTCGCACAACTAAATCACAAAATGGTGAATTATGTTCGTCAACCCATATAAGCGGCGACAAGGTCACGCGTCTATGCGACTTCTATTGTCTTATTATTACGATTTCTGTGCACAGACATAACGCGTATAATGGCTGTAGCACGTATAGGTCGGCTCGACCCGCCCACGAGGAGGACGACGTCTCGAAAGTGGCCCGGAAACATTGTGATAACACTGTGTTAAGCGAGAGAGGGGCCCCGCTTGCGTTCCGAACGAAAGTCCCGGGAACCCTCATATACGCTGACGGTGACCACGGTTTTAGCCGGTAACAGTCCGGCATAAACTTTTCGTTGCCCCCGCAGCGGAAGGTAACTATGGGGATTTCCCTACGTTAAAAAAACGGGCGGCTCGACCGGAGATGTAATAAGATCGCACAAAATACCAGCGTGAAACAGAAGCATAATACTGCTGTGATTTGTATGCTAAGTGATGAGAACCGAAGACCCCTTATCTTAGTAAAGAGACGGATCTTTGTCTGAATGACGGAACCCGGAGGTCCCGTCATTCAGACAAAGAATTTTTACCGGTGGCAACTCATACTAAGTACTTTCATTAAATAACCAAGATTTTACAATTGTCATGATTTACTCATACACGAAGACAATATTCATTAGCAATCAAAAAGAAATCTATCGAAGACAATATTCGCTCGCCGGAAATAATTTAATATAAAAAAATAATTCTGAATGATTCATGACTGTAGAATAATTTATTATTAGAAATAATCATTGCGAATAATATAAAGTAGATATATCTTAAGAATACAATGTGCAAAGTACCTGGGCAAGTGGTGGATGGGCTTGATGACGATGCACGTCCGAGTTCATATCGGCCCACGTCAAAACGCCTGTACCCTACCTAAGTACGCCTCATCATCTGTGAACAATGTTATGAAGTTATGAATCAAAGATACACACAAACTATTTTATTTAATAAATAAACCGCAAACTATTCAAAAAACATTAATTCCAATAATAAACAAACAAGTGATATTTTAATAATTAAATGTAAATGATACATACATAATTATATTAAATATATCTACATAAAATACAAAGTAATATTTTATTTACGCCATATTTTATTTTATTCCACAAGAAAATTTTTATGTTGATTTTAGCAATCAATTTCTTTACAAGCAAGTATTTCGGCTTTTCAAGGTTTAGACCGTTTATCGGTAGAGACGATTTTGCGCAATTTTGACTCCGCTTGGGATTCGAATCCAGGACACGTGACGCGTGAATCAGGTGCCTTACGAACGCGTAGACAAGTATTTAGTTATTTCAGTCAGTCACATTTTTTGGCGTATTCAATTTCGTGGTTGAAACTTCGTTTTGAGGAATGAACTTAAGAGGAAGACCAGGCACTCAATGTAAATGTAGATTAATTAAAAGTAATGGTGAAAACTAAGCAATAAGCGTCATAATTTGACGTTAATTTGTCTGGGAATTAAATTAACGTAAAATAGAAAAACCACTCGAGAATGGGCGCCCCATGAATTGTCTGAAGTTAAAGCTTACCTTGCTTTGATAAGTAGGTACAGAAATTTAGGGATTTTTGACAGAATTGGAATGAGTAATGAAAAGTTGATTCTTTATGATGATCGCTGGCGAAAAACGCAAGGGTTGAACTCAATTCAGACACCGGGACAAACATCCATACAAATAGGCTAATTAGTGGTCACTTCATGGTGTAATTCACTACACCTTTTTGAGACCCGATGAGATCAATAATAGCAAATATTTATTGTGGAGAACTTCGGTCAATGATGGCAAAACTCAGTGGGGCAATCTCCACTTACCAATCGACCAACGCCATCGTTGCTTCATGATAACAGAGGCCCGTGATGATCGACAAACCATTTTAACATTACAAAACCTGCATTTAGAAACCATACGTCAGCCTCCGTGCCAGTCATATCTAGCCCCATCTGATGATTACCATTTTTCCGCAATTTGGATAAAATGATGTTCTCAGGAAACGGTACCTGATCACCAGAGTTCCATTGTAAAGCCATAAATAATCTTCCCTCAAGATAGCAAAAATGTTAAAGAGAATGACGTATATTCTTCAGAATAAAATAGAAAAAAAAAAGAAAGAGCTTAAGAAAATAAAAAGTAATGTTACCTAAATATGTACAGCGAAATCAATTTTAGTGGTGGCAATAGGTCGCACCAGGTTCTGCTCAGAGCTGAGTAAGCACAACTCATAGACTAATGACAGTTAAAATGAGTTTATATTTACAATTTGTAAATATAAACTCATTTTAATTTTTTTTACTTTGATAAAGAAAAAAAACGGTAATGAATAATTGGACCGTTCAAGACAATGTTTCACAAAAACAAGAAAGTGCTCCAGTTCTAAATACTTTCACTTTATACAAATGCAATATAATTTTAGTTTGCTTTTCTTTTGATATTGTTGGTCAAATAGCTGTGGTTAAAATATTTGTTCAACGGCGGAACGTGCATGAGCACAGGTAAATCTATCAGCCCATTTTACTAAGAGGATATTTTAAAATTTGTTGGAATATATTTGAAATAAAAACCAGTTTATAGATATGTGACTAAATGATCATTATCATCATCATTACAGCCCCTCACAAGTCCAGGGGGTATATTGTTATAGTTGGCGAACGGGTCGGCAACCGCAGTTTTTTTGTTGTATAATTGTTGTTATCAGGAAGATGCTGCTGCCCATCTCCTACCTGTTTTCCTCTTCCGCCTTTTACGACACCCACGATATGGGGTAGTGGATATTCTTAACCGCCACTACACGTCGATCATAAACCCCAGGAATAAATGAATTTTTTATTTAATATTCACTGGTGTTTTTTATTAAACACCACAAAAACAAACAAACAACAAACAAACGCACGCACGCACGCACGCACGCACGCACGCACGCACGCACGCACGCACGCACGCACGCACGCACGCACGCACGCACGCACGCACGCACGCACGCACGCACACACGCACACACGCACACACGCACACACGCACACACGCACGCACGCGTGCACATACAAACAGACATTCTTTAGTGAGTCTATATAAATAAATAAAATTGAAGTGTCTATTTGCAATGTCAATGTCAAAATTACAGCTTTATACGAGTACTATTATACATAAGAAAATGTAATATGGTACTTCTAACATAAAAACAATTTTTAAAAGTTTTGTCTATCTGTCTGTTTGCTCCGGCTAATCTCCGAAACGATGGGTAGATTTTGACGGGACTATCACTGGCAGATAGCTGATGTTACATGGAGTAACTAAGCCTACTTATATTTAAGAAAAAGAGGAATATTTAAGGAAAAGAAAATTAAAACCCTAAATTAGTGCGAAGTCGCGGGGAACAGCTAGTTTACAATAAATAGGTTAGCAGCGCAAAATGTTCAGGTAACCTCAAACGAATGGTGTTTCATAGATTGTTAGCTAGAGGAACTTGCACTGAAATGGAGAGGAAATTGTACCATTTTACTCTCGGTGTAAACGATAACACGAGGAGCCGAGCCGTTGAAGTGTGGCGGATGTCGTGCACGCCTCTCTTACGCTCTTGTAATGCAAGTTACATAAGCGATGATATAATATATAATATTATTATAACTAGAAGAATCAACACAACGCGGGCAATGGCTCTTCGCACATTCATTAGCAAAAAACCGTACGTGATGTAATTGTTGTGTTTAACTTTAAAACGTAACGTTCATTCAAATACCATCAACATCACTAACGTTTTAATAACATTAAAATCTCTTAATAGCAAAAAGTTACCTCATTTAAACCAATAAAAAAACCAACAAAAAAAATTGTACCACAAAAGTTCAAGTAAAAGTACCAAGTATTATACAATTTGGAAATCTACATGATATGCGCCAACTTTTGAATACAGTTGCCAAGTCCATGTGGGTACATTTTTTTTACAGTATGAAGGGTTCAACTTGCTCGATAAAACTTTTACTGTTACATTTTTACGAACTTTTATGTATTTATTTCTAACAAACCGTAATAGGCACTGAAAAATAAAATAGTAGGTATAGTAGGCATATTATTAGGCTGTACAAAACAGAAAATAAAATAAAATCGGAACTCATTTGCAGATGCAGCATCAAAAATATTGACGTAACGGCTGATTTTCTGGAAAATTTATAAATCAGCCTTTGTCATTTGAACCAAGCAATTTGGGTATATGACTTAATTTTTTTCCGAACAGTTCTTCCATGGTCTACAACCCCCTTTCGTTTGAACGTTACGTTCTGGGACATCCTGTATATATACTAGCTTGCCAGGCAGACGTTGTTCTGTTCTTAAAAATCCTTAAATTCGCAAAAAAATAATTGTGGGCATAAAAACTATCATATCTCTCAAGTTGGACCAAATTACACACGTTGTGCAAATTTGATTAAAGTCTATTAAGTAGTTTAGGAGTCTATCGCGGACAAGCAACGTGACACGTAATTTATATATATATTAAGATATGTATACAATCACGAGGAAGCTAATGCCCCATTTACATTCAGCCCGTTTGGGCAGGGAAGTGAGCAGGGCAGTGAGCAGGGCAGTATGTAAACAGGCTACTCGCGCTGACACTGCCGCTGCCACTGACACTGCCCGAAATGTCGGTTTTTCGTGCGGAAGTCAAAGGACGGGCAGCGCGAGCGGCAGTGTGTGTTCACATTCAGCTCCATCGCTCACTTCGCGACAAGCGCCTGGATGAACGGACGTGCGTGCCGTCCTGTTATTAAATAAATACGATCTACCAAAATGCCTTTCGAGTGGATTAATGAAAATACAATAAAGTTTTTAGAACTGCTGGATTCAGAAAAAACTATATGGGATTTCAACGATAAAAACCACAATTCATCATCTTCTACGAATACGAATTTTCTTTTTTGAGTTAACATAGTACCTATGTACATAATTAATTATAAATTCGTCAAATTTATTATATTAATATAAAATTTAGTTTAAGGAATTAATGAACATTGACATTTTATTTCTAAAAACGATTAGTAACTCATATTGATTATTTATTAATTAAAATGTAAAATAAGTTAAAAGGTAATATTTGCATAATAGCCTGAGATTTTTAAATTATAATTTTATTGTAATTAAAATTACGAATTAGTTTATACTGAAGTGTAATTAATAAAATAATAATAGCTTAACTAATCTCATATAATATTTAATATTATTTATGTAACAATAATATAATAATTCAATTAATAATTTATGAACAATTTACTGTATAAGAATTCAAATAGAGTGGATCTGTATAAGTATTTAATTGTACATAATATTTGAATTCAAAAAGAATGTGTGTACCTAACTTTTAAGCAACATCGGGTTTGTGTAATTAGCTGTATTTCATATCATTTTTCCATGCCAATTATGGCAAAACATGTCAGTTCCACGTCATTGATCATCTTATGTACCATGTTTTTAAGCAAATAAATTTTCTATCTATCTATCTGTCTTCTTTTGAACTTGATATCTTTTTAAATTATTAACATAATTTTGTATTGCAAGAAGACACAGCGCGGACGCTGTAATTATTTCGACGTCCGCCATAGTCGAAAGCCGAAAGCGATGTGAGTGGTAGGGCAGAGTGTGAATACACACTTCCCGCGATCCTGCTACGGCAGTATTTAGGGAAGTATTGCCGGCAGCGCGAGGAGCAGTGGCAGTGGCTGAATGTAAATGGGGCTTAAGAGGCGCATACAACACTGTCGTCTACCCATCTCTGCTTCATACCAATTTACCAATTATGACCTTCGGTTATGTCCCTGCAGTAATTTAAAAAAAAAACTTTATTTTAACCT